ACAGCCCCTGGCAGGGGAGTGAGCCTGCCGGGGGATTCCATTTTGCCCCCCCCCCCTCACATACCCTCCCTCGATTAGTTGAGAACTGCCTGGCAGGTAGACACACTCAGGCAGCACGAGCACATCTACTATCCAGGCAGTTCGCAGCTAAGGATTGATACACCTAATTATAATAAAAACTTACCTAATTAGAAAATACCCGACATTTTATGTGTCTGGTAATTTCTCAATTTGTTTCTGACAAAACCCTCAAATACCAGATTGTCCGGTACAAAACCAGACACCTGGCAACCCTACCCCTCCTTGCACCCTCCCTCCTAGCCAGATACCCTACTCTCAGTCTGCTCCTGCTCCCACCTTCTGGAGTGCCCATGCAGCGCCGGGTCCCCCCAAGGCCTGGCCCAGGCTGGGTGGAGGATGCAGCCAGGTGAAAACTGAAAATGTATTCATTTTTCATTCTTTTTTTTATATGTGTTTATATTTTTGGGCTGCAAAAAACAGTACTAAAAAACCAGGTTCCAACTAAAGTAAAAAGTTTGGGAAACGCTGATCTAGCCAGCTTTCTATCCATCTTTCGGTCCATTTATCCAATCCATATTCCCTTAACTTGCAAGCAAGAATATTGTGGGTGACTGTATCAAAAGCTTTGCTAACGCTGGCACTGGGGGCTTTGGGAGGACCAGAAACAACTTATTTAAATATTCATCATTTGCTTAATGAATATGCAAATATACGTTACTGGTCCTCCAAAAACTCGTGAATGGATTTACTGGTCCCCGTGTCAAAAAGTTTGGGAACCCCTGATCTACAGGAAATTGGAATCATCATCTTGGATTCCCTTTGGCTTCTTACAAACTTCCTTTGATATTAAAATGTCATCCTGGCCATTCCTGTTATCAAGATATTGACAGAGCTGAGGGGTTAGTGAATTTAGTGTGCTGCAGGCCAGGGACAGACCCTAGAACCAGCCACCTATCCTCAATCAGCTGCAGGGCCAGGATACGGGGCACTGGAAGCTGGAGCTAGCTCTCAGAGTCTTGCACCCTCCCTCCCCCCGTCTACTCAGCTGGAGGAGGCAACTGCCAGATCCGCCCAACCCCCAGATCTTCAATCCCCACCTTTCTCCTACATCAGCTGCAGGGTGGAGGGACAGCTGTAGCCCCCTGCACTGAGGCCCTCCTTAATGACCTGAGCAATGCCGGGTAAATTGGCTAGGTGTGGCTATAAAACTGTACTGTAGAAATTCAAGCTCAGGCTGCCACTTGGATGTTGGGATACAGTCTGAATGTCTATTCTGCAATTTTATAGCCCTGCAGCTCTAGTCAGCTGACTGGGGCCAGCTACAGGTGTTCTACTGCAGCACAGACATATGCAAAAGCAGAAAACAGAAGCTCCGGATGACACTGTACTGTGGGATGACACATGGAACCATATTTCCACTCAGGTACAGACTTAAGAAAACATCTATTCCACATCATAAATTTGCCTCAACTGAAGGGGGAACTATTCAAATTCAAGAATAACAGCCTGGACTCCCAGTGACAGAGAGCTTTATTTTACAAGGAATAAAAAAGGAAAAACAGAACTACAGAGAAGAAAGAAGTATGTTTAAAGAGAGACTTCCTAAATTGCCATGAAAGTTGAAACATTTGCTGAGATCCACTTTACTCCAGTAACTGCTCAGCCTTTGGATCAACCAGACAAGTCCCAGTCTGATTACCCAAACTTTATGAAGGAAAAAATTACATGGAATCCAACCACTACAACCCTGATTATTCCCCCTCAGTGGAGGCAACATCCTCACCTGGTGGACATATTGGTGTTGGCAGTAAAATAAACAAACTGTTCCTTGAAATTCCCAAAGACAGAAGGGTTTATTTTTGGCAAAGTGAGATCTTACTGATGAAACCAGTAACATTTAAAATGGTGAAGTCTGAAGATGCTTCAAAGGAAGATATGGTAGAAGCCAAAAAAGCTACTTATTATTGCTCTAAATTCTAAATGAAATTTCCAGTTACAGTAACATACAATAATTCTAAGAGATTTTAAGTAATGATGTAGCAAGATCTACAATTGTTCTGAAGCCTGCAGTTTCTCACAGTCCCTGATATATATATGATATATGATAATTTTTAGGAGAATTTTGGTGCATCCTTCAATAAAACATTTACAAGCTCCCTTAGGATTATTACTCAACATCTAACAGCACCAAGGCCCAAGAACTTGATGGTCACTTGGCTCATCACAAGAGAGCATGGGCGTCACCAGGTCAGTGCCAGAATCACAGCATATGCCCACTGGTAGCATTCAGATATAGTTTCAGTTGTTTAATTTAAATATTTTTCCCAAACACACCAAAGAGCCCATTAGTCCCTGTAGGACAAACCAAATACCAAGTGTTTGCAGCAGTGATGGTTTGTTATTCAGTTATCTCTCTATAGATTAAAAAATGTTTCCTGTGGGATGCCAGAATAATGTCATCATGTCATCAGTGTCTAGAGGCTCCACCCACGTGGCACGGAATAGCTAGTTCGGATTAGGCTTCTAATCCGAACTAGCTGTACTCCTTGTGGAATGAGGAGTACAGCTAGTTCGGATTAGGAAGC